AGTTTGACCAGGTCACAATGCCGAATGATTCTAATCCCGTCCTTAGTTTGACCAGGTCACAATGCCGAATGATTCTAATCACGTCCTTAGTTTAACCAGGTTACACTGCCGGACGGTTCTAATCACATTCTTAGATTGACCATGTCACACTACCGGGTGGTTCTAATCACGTCTTTAGTTTAACCAGATCACACCGCCGGACAGTTCTTAGATTAACCAGGTCACATTACCGGACGGTTCTAATCACGTCCTTAGTTTAACCAGATCACATTATTGGACGATTCTAATCACGTCCTTAGTCTAAACAGGTCACACTGCCGGACAGTTCTAATTACGTCCTTAATCTGACCAGGCTACAGTTTGCTCAGTAGAACCTTGGTTTATACTCTTTTGAAATATTAATCATAACTGAGAAAAAACGTATTTTATTTAAAGTACTTGTATGGTGTTTTACTGATAAAGAAGGAACTTTATGAACGCCGATATTAGGCCATGTTTGGGCATTAAAGTTTGTTATTGTAGTCCAAAAGCAGTTTTGTTTCGATTCATATTTTATAAATTTAGAAATCCATAATCAGTATAAAACACAATTGATCTTGATCATTTGAAACTCAAACGTGAAGCATCGAACTTTTTAAGCTAGATCAATGATTCTCAACCGTTTTTTTTTTCTCATGGACCCCTCCCCCTTTCCCTCACGAATCTAAAACAATCTCGCGGAGCCCCATACTCCGAGAGATCACCTTGCGGAAGCGGTTCGTATAGTATATTAAAGCGACGCTGACATAAATAAATGTGTAAGTTAATAACATTTTTAAGTAATACAGTATTTTAATATAATATAATTGCATCGCCTTCCCCCCTCCCTTTTTCAAAATCATAATATCGAAATTCGATATTAACCGTTGAGGACATCTATCAAGAGACTGCGTAATTTTGCTGTTACGACTTTATCAAAAATGTAAGAACTCATGGCATTGTGTATCAGTGGTGTAATTTAGTCTTACCCTAACTTACAATAACGTGATTGGTGAAATACATCTTCTCGTAAAGTTAATTAGACGATAGGTGAAATAAAAAAAACAATTAAAACATTTTTATGCAAATCATCACTTAGTGTGATCTCTAAATTTGATTCAGAATTTTTAAAAATGGATAAGCTTTTAATTAAAGCTAAAAAATAAAAGGAAAGTAGCGATAACGACATATGACATAACAATTAAGGTAACTGAAGAACTCAAGTATTTTAATCTATTTCTATGTTTTTATTATATGTTTACAGAATACAAGTCCGTATTTATTCGATTTAGATTTTAAGTTTCAGTTTTTATTTTTATGTGTCCTAAGTTCCGCTTATATTCTTCTGGAAAGTATAAATTTATCTCTTTCTAGCTTATAAGAAAATATGTTTTCTCCTAGAGAGTTCTAAGTTTTTATAGTGACCAACTTTTGAGCTCTTATTCATCAGTATTTACTTCCGAGTTTTAATTTTACGTTTTTTTCTTCTTGAGAAAGTTCTAATTTCTGTGTACCTCTACAGGTTTGAAATTTATTTTTAGCTGTATCACAGCTCCAAGACTGTTTTTTTTTTCATATTAAGTTTTAAACATTTATGTATTAGTCTCTTGGAACTAAATGAGCAATTCGTGTGGATCTTTTCAGTGTCATGCACCGCGTTCAAATATAGATATATATATATATATTTGAATGTAGTTTTTAACGCTGATTTTAGAAATGTAAATTAAAATTTGGAGAAATTAAAATAAATATGTTTAACATTTTTTATTTTGCTTATGAAACAAAGGAAGTACTTTTAGCATTACATATTTATTTATGTATTTAAAAGAATTGCAATACATCAAAACAATACAAAGTATCTAGTAACAGTGTAACAAATTCAATGTGAAAATTCAGAAATATTCTTAAATATTTGCTTGAAGAGATCATCATTTTCATGCCTACAATGCCAAACGAACTCGCAGAGATACGAGTCAATCATATTACGATTGGTTGCACAATGTCGCTTGCTACGTCTCTTAACCACATTCCAAGTAGTTTCAATTTGCTGCAGATTTCAAGAATGTAAGTTAAAATTTTGAGAATTGATTTTTAAAGGGGAAAGAATGGGAAAATATTTTGATTTTTTAAAGAATGTTTTTAATTAAATTAATTTTTTATTTAAATAAACATCTACTTATTTACTAATTGGTGTAACTTGACCTAACCTAGCAAAATAAAAACATATCAAAAATATTTCTTTTCATTTCTCCAAATTTAAATTTATATTTCTGAAATCAACATTAAAAACCACGTTAAAAAATATATATTTATTTCTATCTGAACACGGTGCATGAAACAGAAAAGATCCATTCGTGTTCCTTTTGTTTATTTTTTTCCGATTCAAAATGGCAGTTTTTTTTTGTTGTTGTTTTTTTAGGTTCGAAACAACATTCGGTCTTTTGATGCTTTCTGTGCAAAACTCCGTTGCTCAACTCAACAGCATTCTTTCTGTACCTCCTGACATTCACGATTTTGGTGGGTCCTCAGAATGTGCTTTAGTCTTGCGCAGAACATACCTCGATGGTCGAAGAAAGTCTGCAGCGCCCTCATATGGAGGCTTTTTTAACCTTCTGAAACCAGGGTACTTACTATAATGGTTATATTGTGATAAAAAGTATTGGAGATCGTAACCTAAGATAAAATAAACTAAATATTTAATAATATTTTAAAGATGAATATTTTCTATTTTACTAAATAACAGGCTTATTTTAAATATTAGCTTAGTATCTTATGTGCGTGCGTGTATGAGTAAATACCTTTATAAAACAAAATACAATGTATCTTGAAATGTATCTGCGGCTGAAAAGTAATCAATCCTGCCATCGTATTTAAATTTCAGGGTGATAAAAAAATTGACAAAACAATATAAATACATGCATTTTTTCCCAGCCCAATACATCACAATGGACCAACCGAAGAAATCTGTATAAGATACACAGATGTCAACTTGGCATTAGCTGAAGCGAAACGGCGGAAAGGTTAGTGAAGATGTTATTTTCTTGTGTTATAAAATAAATTAACTCGATCCAAGTACACATAGTAAACCACGTATCTGTGATGTAACTGAGAAGTCACGACGTTATAAAAATGTAAGCATTCGTGACATTGTGTATTAGTGGTGTAATGTTTATGGCCTCAAGCTACAATAACTTGACTGTAGAAATACGTATTTTTCATTCAGTGGTGTCATGTTTACGATCCCCAGTTACAATAACTTGACTGTAGAAATACGTATTTTTCATTCAGTGGTGTCATGTTTACGATCCCCAGTTACAATAACTTGACTGTAGAAATACGTATTTTTCATTCAGTGGTGTCATGTTTACGATCCCCAGTTACAATAACTTGACTGTAGAAATACGTATTTTCATTCAGTGATGTCATGTTTACGATCTCCAGTTACAATAACTTGACTGTAGCAATACGTATTTTCATTCAGTGGTGTCATGTTTACGATCCCAAGTTACAATAACTTGACTGTAGAAATACGTATTTTCGTTCAGTGGTGTCAAGTTTATGACACCAAGCTACAATAACTTGACTGTAGAAATACTTTGTTTGTTTGTTTTGAATTTCGAGCAAAGCTATTCCTGGTAAATTTATTCGTTTCTTTATACTAATTAATTTAACTTAAAATTTAGTTTCCTGTTGTTGTTTTTTCTAACGGAACATTTAATCTTAGTGTACAAATTTAAAAGAAACGATCCTTGTTAAAAAAATACTTTATTTTTGATATCTAAAAATGAAAAGTTTCAAAATAAAAACAGAACTAGGTTTACGAGGCTTCAAACGTGGGTTTTAGCATCTCATTTATGGTTTTATGAGTTTTCCCCTGATTTTAGAGGGCGCAACAATAAACCGAAAAGCTTTCAAATTATAGGAGACCCCAAAAGATTTCCACAGATTTCCAAAAGGTGTCATAATCATATTTGCAGAAAAAATGCAATGTACATACTGATGTAACCTTATTTTATTCTTTTACCCCCCCCCCCCCAGTGGCACAGCGGCATGTCTACGGACTTATAACGCTAGAAACCGGGTTTCAATACCCGTGTTGGGCAGAGCACAGATAGTCCATTGTGCAGCTTTGTGCTTAAGTAACAAAGAAACAACACCAACCTTATTTTTTTCAGAGGAATATATATATAAGTGTAATTTAACTAGTTATTCTAATGTGGTGTGATACGTTTTGGTAATAATTATTTTTGTGTATAACAAGAAACTCACTGTATTGGATACACTACCCTCTGAAACATATTGCGTTGCCGCTATGAAATAAAAGATACTGGGTTTAGGCAACACGTATATAGTTTTAACGACTACATTATCAAGAAATATGAATTTCTGTTTTAAAAAAATTGGACAACTCGCTAATTACAGATGGGCCCCGGCATTGCCAGGTGGTTTGGGCGCTCGACTAGCAATATGTGGGTCGCGGGTTCGAATCCCTGTCACACCAAACATACTCACCCTTTCGGCCGTGGGGGCGTTATAATGTGACGGTCAATCCCACTATTCGTTGATAAAAAGGAATAGCCCAAGAGTTCGCGGTGGGTGGTGATGACTAGCTGCCTTCCCTCTAGTCTTACACTGCTAAATTAGGGACGGCTAGCGCAATTAGTCCTCGTGTAGCTTTGAACGAAATCCATAACAAACAAACAAACAGATGGAAGAATGATAAGATAATGAAAAAATAACTACTCGTTATGCTGAACAACGTGTTCTGTCGAGGCTCTTGTAAGGTGAACGTATATGTGTCTGTGTATATTTACATATATATGTATATAGAGACACATAGATACGTATAAAGCTAAATGATAATTAGTTTTAAGAAGGAGCGGAATACATTGTTATCAATCACTTGCATAACGTTGCAAAGAAAGGAAATTAAAATCAGATTCTGGAAAAATCATTTGTTTGTTAACTTTAATATCCAAAGAAACAAGGCGGTACTAGTTTAAAAACCTAGGTAATAAAACAACTTGAAGGTGAAATATGCATTGGTCCATGACGTACCGACTCCAGCAGAGCTCTATTGTATGAACTTCTTTGCTCAACGACAAGAACTGGAGCATGAACTCGAAATTTTCTGCAACGTTAAATATAGTTTGTGACATATATTTAAAACTTTTTGATCTCATGATATCAGTTATAGCGTTACATTTATTATAAAAGAAACACATTAAATTATCGATTTAATAATCAAAATGTGGTATAAAATCATTTAAAAAGGGGGGGGGGGACTGTGCCACATTATTATTATTTGTATTCGTCTTATTATGAAACGCGAAACAAAATAAACCTGAAAATTATTCTTAGAAAAGTAAAAGCTATGAAAATGAAATACAAATTTAACGAAAATCTTAAAACAGACAGAACGGTTCAATATTTCTCGTAATAGAAATTGGCGGGAAAAGTATCTTGCTTTATGCGTTCGTGACTTAATGGTACACAACCGAACACGCCTAATTTTTTAGAATTAAGGCCTAAAGTCCTTGAAACGAAATTGCCAACGAATATCCCTTTATGATAAGATCGTCAAATCTGAAGTCGTTAGATCTTCGCAGTCTGAAAACTTATTCATGTAGCGTGACTGATTTTCGTTGTCATGGCGTTAACAGATAAACAAGAGAAATGACTCTTCCACTTAACGTCTGTGCATTATTGAACACGCAAACATTATTGGTGAATGAAAGGAAAATGTACAGTATTCATGATTATTTTTTCTAGGACACAGAACGCCTCGAACAATCCAGTCCCTCGAGCCACATCCATCAGATATAGGAATTACAGGAGAATTAGTATTGGAGACTACCCGTATTCTAGCACTTCAGTAAGTTTTGATAACGCAGACCACTAGTGAGTGTATATGGGCAACAACATTCTAAACACACCACTAAGTTTATATGACCAGTAACATAATGGGGCAACATTAGGTGTCTATAACCACTCACATGTTAGAGAACTAGTACGGTTCATATAGTTACACTAGTAAGTTTTTATAACCAATAATATACTGGGTCAACATTAGATGTCAATAATCATTTACATTCTAGACCATTAGTAAGTTCACATAACCAATAACATTCCAAGCATACCTATTAACTAGTAATATTCTTATCGTACCAGCAAGTATATACAACAAATAAGATTGTAGCACACAATAAATTTTTGTAATTAAAAAAACTCGGAGACACCATACAACCAATAACATTGTAACACAAAAGTAAATTCATACAACCAATAACATTGTAATACAAAAGTAAGTTCGTACAACCAATAACATTGTAACACAAAAGTAAGTTCATACAACCAATAACATTGTAACCTAACAGTAAGTTCATACAACCAATAACATTGTAACCTAACAGCAAGATATACAACCAATAACATTGTAACCTAACAGTAAGTTCATACAACCAATAACATTGTAACCTAACAGCAAGATGATACAACCAATAACATTGTAACCTATCAGTAAAATGATACAACCAATAACATTGTAACCTAACAGTAAGATGATACAACCAATAACATTGTAACCTAACCATAAGTTTATACAACCAGTAACCTTGTGCCACAATGGTAAAGTTTCTTTACTTGTTCAGATATTCTAGGACTATAGTAAGCCTTATTACATAGCCTATATACTAAGTGAAATGTCTCTTTTTTCACAACAGATTTAAATTTGAAGGTATAGACAAAGTTAACATCCCTTGCACAAGTAAAATGGTTCTTAAAGCTAAATGGAATATATCTATGGAATCAGTACAAGTATTTCCCTGGATAACTGCACAAACATTAATATTTTAATGGTTAAAATTAGAGGAGAATTTCCTGAAATTTGACAATCCAACATAACAATAAGTTATGTTGTTTTTATTTTTTTATGTTGATCCAAGTAAAATATCTCTATTCTATGAACTTAATAAATGGTCATGTGCCAAACACAAGCGAAGCCACCTGTTGTCCATGGGAAATAATGATATCTATAAAATTCCATTATGCTGAAGTACGTGAAGCTGGTACAAAGTTTGGCCGATACATTACGTGGAAAATATATAAATATGTTAGTTTTTGTTGCTGTTATTTCAAGTGTAAAGTAATTCACATTGAAACATGACCGTGTTTTTATGTACAAAAAGTTTGCAGTTATCCTTGACACCTCAGAGTTGTTTCGGGCGAACAATAATATCTTGTAATATCGGGGGCAAAATAGTTATCCAGAAAATGGTAAAGTGCGTTAAGACTGAACTACTTCTAATGTTAAACGGAAGGTTGTTTAAAACAATTGAACAATTTCACCATGTTTATAGAAGATTGTTTAAATTAATTGAACTACTTCCTTATGTTAACAGGTGATTGTTTAAGTCAATTGAGCTAGTTCTCCCTGTTTATGGAACATTGTTTAAATTAATTGAACAATTTCCCAATGAACTGTTTCCCCATGCTTACGGAAGATTGTTTAAATCAAATGAACTGTTTCTCCATGCTTACGGAAGATTGTTTAAATCAAATGAACTGTTTCCCCATGTTTAGGGAATATTGTTTAAATCAAATGAACTATTTCCCCATGTTTACGGAAGATTATTTAAATCAAATGAACTATTTCCCCCTGCTTACGGAAGATTGTTTAAATCAAATGAACTGTTTCCCCATGTTTACGGAAGATTTTTTAAATCAATTGAATTACTTCCCCATATTAAGAGAAATATTTTTTTTTAGAACAACATTGTCAACTTCTAGGATGTATGTAGTTTATGTTTTTCAAATATTTTTCGGGTAATAAGATTCATGTAATAACTTATTATGTAATGACAACGTCCATACTGAGATGAGTTAAGTTAATTTTAAAATGGGCCTAACTTTAGCAAGTAAAGATTCATGTAATAACTTATTATGTAATGACAACGTCCATACTGAGATGAGTTAAGTTAATTTTAAAATGGGCCTAACTTTAGCAAGTAAAGATTCATGTAATAACTTATTATGTAATGACAACGTCCATACTGAGATGAGTTAAGTTAATTTTAAAATGGGCCTAACTTTAGCAAGTAAAGTTTGATATTTTAAGGTAGGAATTGTATTCCGAAAACTGAAAGGATGTTCATCTCGAATATCTGTAGTTTCACACACGCGTGCACAAGAATCAGGGTACTATCAGAACATTGAGTGCATTATAGTTTATGCAATTAAAAATAACTGGACCAGTCGTTGTCTAAGAAATAGAAAAATGTGCAGAAAAACTACCCCTTCCTGGTGTTACATTGTAAATGCTTCTTTGTTTAACTTTTCTAGATTTAAACTGTCACGAGATGAGGTAATGAACGGTCTTCCTATGATTGATACTTCTCGCACTGACATCTGGGAAATTTGTCCTGCGCACGTGAAGCCCGTGCCATGTACTATTGAAAGGCACAGATCATACACAGGGATATGTAACAATGTGCAGCATTCCAGTTGGGGTTCAACTCATACCCCTTTTGTCCGCTTCCTCCCCCCTGCCTATGTTGATGGTAAGTTTTAATTTCAGTTAAAATACTTAATATGATAATATAAAATGTTTATTTTATCAAAGAAAGACACGAACAACAATAGTTATGCGAAATGAATAAAGGGTTGATACGTAGGGTGAAGTTCAACACAATGACTTATCAACTAACCACTCGCACCACCATACAGTAGTGTGTTGTTTGTCAGTCAGTCAGTAGATACTAAAATGACGTCATATAAGGGACATTTAACGTTGCAACTTATACTGTCGTGACGTCAGTAAAACGTGCACATGCCATGAATAACGAGAAGAATTATACACTCTGTAGGCTACAACACAGAATGACGTTCGAACTTAAAAATCAAGAAATGAAAATATTTATTACTCCTAATTTTGGTTTTATTTACTTTTGAAACAAGACACTTTCGGGGACCACGCGGAAGTACATCTAATATAGCGAATATCTTTTATCCAAATAGTGTATGCATGTCACAAAGAAATAACTACCTTTTACCATATACCTTACTTACTGGTTGTTGTTTTTTTTTCCTTAGTGTTTACGTATAGATAGTTTCCATTAGAGAGCAAAATATAATGAATAATTTTGTACTTGAAACGTTTCAAGAACCCGATGTTGAAACAGTTCTACAATTGTCCTGATCTTTCATGATTGGTTAATTAATAGAGGATTTTTATAAGAACCGAAAATGTCTTAACTTGTGTTTCTATTTTCTATTAAGTATAATAAGTTCTCATCAGAAGTGTCATTTTAATGACGCATAGTTTAAGTTATTCACGTGTTTCACGCTAACAATGTAAACATTATTTTTATTCTGCTTGTTTTATTCATACTAACAATGTCAAAATATTCTCGTCCTGCCTTCTTTTATTTCACACTAAAGGTGTCAAAGTATTCTCGTCCTGCCTTCTTTTATTTCACTAACAATGCCAAAATATTTTCGTCCTGGCTTCTTTCATTTCACACTAACAATGTCAAAATATTCTCGTCCTGGCTTCTTTTATTTCATACTAAAAGTGTCAAAGTATTCTCGTCCTGCCTTCTTTTGTTTCACACTAACAATGTCAAAATATTCTCGTCCTGCCTTCTTTTATTTCACACTAAAAGTGTCAAAGTATTCCCGTCCTGCCTTCTTGTATTTCACACTAAAAATGTCAAAATATTCTCGTCCTGCCTTCTTTTATTTTACACTAAAAGTGTCAAAGTATTATTGTTTTGCCTTCTCTTATGTCTAAATCTCCAATTCATCTGTTCTAAGCTTGTATATCTGTATGAAGCTGTTATTTTTATGTTATTTGAAGTTGTGATATCTCTTGTCTTCTCTGACCAGGAATCTCAGTTCCACGCATATCGGTATCAGGAGGACCGTTACCACCAGCTCGTGTAATTAGTTCGCATATTCATCCAGACGTAGACTTCCCCAGTAATGAGCTTTCCGTTCTCGTCATGTCTTGGGGTCAATTTATTGACCACGACATGACCCTTGCGGCAGTACCTAGAGGTAGGTTGTTACATTGACTATTACAGTAGGCCATCTTCAGGGCTATTATTACGTGACCTAATCGACTAAAACATTACACTTGGATAAAAATTGAATGGCTTTTAATGAAACATATAATCATTCCATTATTTACTACATCTGAAACACGTGGAAAGTCATTTTTTACAGGTGTCGTTATTTCGATCTCAGTGATAAGCAACGTAATATAAATCTTCAAAATATTATATCAAAATCGTAGGCTTTGTTACGTGATTAAGAATTTACGTAGCTGTAGCAATATATCTTCAAAACCAAGATTTATCTTTATTTTTCAGCATTTTCTTTCACTTCTATTGACTTCCCCATGTCTTTACTTGGTTCTTTTTTTCCATATTGTTTGTTTTTTTCAGTATTTTTGTTTTTTATTTTTCTAGCCTTTACACCAAACTAAATAACTTCTCAACATTCTCAGAGCGCCCCCCAGTGACACAGCGGTATGTCTGCGGACTTACAACGCTAGAATCCGGGTTTCGATACCTGTGGTGGGCAGAGCACAGATAGCTCATTGTGTTGCTTTGTGCTTCATTACAAACATTCTCAGAACAGTTTCGTGTAGTATGAATTTCTTTAAAGTCACGTGTCACTTGTCGTTTTCCACGTAAGCGGTTCTTTATTTTTTTTAATACGGCAATAACTGGTTGTTTAAATGTCTGACAATCTTAGGTAAGTAACAGTCAAAAATACGTTCCTTTGTCTGTCAGCATGACAATTAAGTTGTGTCGTTTTATTTTCCCAAGAAATTAAACAAAATAAGAAGCTAATAACTCTATTGAAAATGCGGTTTATAGGACACACGCAAGAACATTACACTTTTCCTTAGAAAAAAAAAAAAACAACACAAAAAACATTCCACGTTAGACGCCATAGTCTCATCATGATTACACTTTTTATGAATTAACCATAATGCATCTAGAATATTTCAAAATTGAGAAGAAGAAAAAATTCTAGAGCTTTTGAAAAATCTATAGCATTGCTAATTGATATTTGATGTTTAATAGCCTTAAGTTTGGGCTTCGCACTGACGAGTTAAAAAACATTTCCAATTGTAAGATTTTTTTTCTCTAGTCTTATTATATATATATTTTTAATGTGGACTTCGTCATCTGCCGCTAGTCCTTGTGGTCACCGAAGTCAGTTCTGGTTAACGGTTTGTTTGTTTTGAATTTCGCGCAAAGCTACACGAGGGCTATCTGCGCTAGCCGTCCCTAATTTAGCAGTGTAAGCCTAGAGGGAAGGCAGCTAGTCATCACCACCCACCGTCAACTCTTGGGCTACTGTTTTTACCAACGAATAGTGGTATTAACTGTCACATTATAACGCCCCCACGAGCATGTTTGGTGGGACGGGGATTCGAACCCGCGACCCTCAGATTGCAAGTCGAGCGCCCTAACCACCTGGCAATGCATATTAAACAGAACACTGTACATTGAAATGTCTGATACTGAAACACACTTATATTCCATGATTATCAATTAGCACATCAAACCAAACATTCTTCCAATGTTTTTAATCATAACAAAAACGCCGATTCTCCTGTTTTTTCATATAGTGGTTTAAATTATTTTATTACTAAAGCTGAAATCATGAATCATCCGTCCTTTACTGTTTACTATTTCTCTCGATTTGGGCCTGGTTGTTAGGACGCTCAACTCGCCATATGCAGGTTCGAATCCTCCTCACTGAGCATGCTCTTCTTTTCAGGCGTGGGGGCATTATAATGAGACGGTCACTTCGTTGGTAAAAGAGTAGCCCAAGAGATGGGGGTAGGTGGTGTTAACTAGCTGCCTTACCTCTAGTATATCACTGCTAAATTAAGGACGGATAGCGCAGATAGCCCTCGAGTGGTTTAGCGCGAAATACAAAACAAACCTATCTCCCGATTTAAAGTTTAGTTCAATTAAATCGTTCTATTATTAAAACTGAAATTAGACAACTCATCAAATCGTTTAAAATTTCGCCTTTTTACTTAAACTATTGCATATCTACATACAGTATACAGTTCCGCATGTCCCCTTTTGAAGCCCCCCAGTGGCACAGCGGTATGTCTGCGGACTTACAACGCTAGAATCCGGGTTTCGATACCCGTGGTGGGCAGAGCACAGATAGCCCTTGTGTAGCTTTGTGCATAATTAAAAACAAACAAACCCCTTTGGAAAAAAAAAATATCATCCTCGTAGCTAACTTTCCCGAATGTTTATTTATATATTCTCAGTATTTTCTATTACTTCTATTAACTCCCATATTTTTTGGCTTGGTTCTTTTCTCCATATTGTTTGTTTTTCCATTGTTTTGACGAGAGTCAACTTCTTGGCTCTGCTGCTTCTGCGCGCTTATCTTAGGTTATTACATCTTAATTTGTGTGTAATCATTACAGCAAGAAGTAGGTGGCAAGAGACGAAATATCACTTCTGGTGTTTCATCAATATCTCTACCAAGGAAAAAACAAACAAACTACATGTATAACCCCAACTAACATTGTGGGATTCACTGTATATTGCTTACGAGTTTTATTCTAACTTATTTAAATTTTATTCCTTAATAATAAGACGCCAAAAAAAATGGTCGTACAAATGTGTATGTTTGCATACATGCATTTTTAATATTTTAAAATTTATGTACGTAACAAATTAGCAAAAGGTTTGTTTGTTTGTTGTTAAGTGCAGTTATGCAATGGGCTGTTTGTGCTGTGCCCACCACGGGTATTGAATCTCGATTTTTACCATCATAAGTCCAGAGACTTGCCACCGGGGGTGGGACGTAGAAAAATGAAATGTAATCCCAACTTCACAGGGTTTAAAGTGACATGTAATGTGATGAATATTTATAAACTTTGTTAAAATAATTTGCTAATAATGAACAATATGCTTTGGGCGAACTTTCTTTTAAAACATGTGATGGAGGTATGTTTACAATAATCCAGAATAATACGCAGTAACTTTTGCTTACGTCTTTTACTGTACGAACCATAATTATTTGTTGCAGTTACTACTTCTTTTACTAGATGGCAACACCTGTACTCTTTAATAATCACCACATATATATATGTTTTATTTTTGCTTACGTCTTTTACTGTACGAACCATAATTATTTGTTGCAGTTACTACTTCTTTTACTAGATGGCAACACCTGTACTCTTTAATAATCACCACATATATATATGTGGTGATTACGTGATAAATTTCTTAGATTTACTTATAATGCCGCTTCGCTGCTTATTGTTTACAATAGTTCACAGAACTGTAAACATTTTATGTATGCATACTTTTTATATAGGGAACATTCACATAAAAGTACAATGGATTCATTTTCAGAATCAATGTGTAGAGTGAAAGACATCTTTGAAAAGTTGTAGTTAACTGGACATCCTATTGTGCAGCGGACAACTTCGTACCGAGCTTATGTTAGCTATTATTAAATCCATTTTATTAAACATATAATGTTTCTCTACATGTTTAGGCTCTAATAACTTAATGTTTCATTCCACTGGAACTCTATCTTCATGACGAAGTAGTCATTACGCTTCTCGGAGATCCACGCTTCTTCGTTATGTCTTCTATGTCATAAAGAGTTCATTGAGCTAACTTATTATTGGTTGAAAATTTTTTCACTGATTCAGATACATCTTATAAAATTATTCAAAGCTAAACAGTTGCAGAAATTAAGGAATATTTTCACTTAAGCCTACGCAAACTTTATTAAAAGCCTCACGACGGTTAGCGATGTCACACGTTTATCAGATAATATGTCACGTTTTTTTTATATATAGCTGTTACAATCCAGTATCATATCAAAATATTGTTACATGTACACGTGATTACCATATCAAAAAATTGTTACATGTACACGTGATTACCATATCAAAATATTGTTTCATATACACGTGATTACCATATCAAAAAATTGTTACATGTACACGTGATTACTATATCAAAATATTGTTATACTTACACGTGATTATTGTAGTTCATTTACTTATTAAAACATTTTATCTTTCACAAGTGACTATTAGAGCTGTGTGACGTTTCAATCGTCCCATCTTTCACATAAGGTTGTTAGAGATATGACGTGTTAAAACAATTGCTAGTGGGGTTAAGGAATTTGTTGACTGCACGAACTCCAATAGCACGTGAGTTACACACACATTTATAAACAAAAATATCATCCGTATTAAAAATAGTTCTACTAATTAATTCCCTGTGATTTTACTGAACTTTTTTATAGATTTTTTTACACCAGTGTAGTAACAGGCAAAAACATAAAAATACCAGGGTTTATTTTAACGTGTTTGTGCAGTACTAAAATTTATAATAAAAACTCCG